AAAAATAATTAATTATAATATCTAAAAATATCAACCTATAAATTAATTTTAATATATTAAATAATGGATATAAATTATTTGATATTATTAATTATTACTAATAATTAAATTAAGTTAACAAAATAGTAAATCGACGATGACCAGTCCCTTCATAATGGATTGCCTAATCTTTTTCTCATGAGTTGTATAGTTGCAGCCTTGTTAGTTGGGCTAAATAGCTCACTCACTCGGCCCAGATTTCTGTTCAGCCTGTTGGGCTAAAACCCTTGTTAGATTTACATTCTAAAGTCTAAGCTCCAAATATTCCTTAACCACGTTTTTTCTTTTTGGTGTATTGGATAATTAATTGTTTGAAATAACAAAGATTTACATTTTTAATTTTGACTCTAAATTAAAATTTTTTAATTAATAATACTAATTATAAATTCATTAATTTTAAAGTTATGAGTCTATGACGTATCTTGTCTTTGTTTAAAAAAAATAAAATTAGTCAAATTCTTTTTGGTTCCATAGGCACATCCTCCTTCCATAAAGGTTTGAACTTCCAGGCCTCAAGCTAGAATTCCATAATGGTGAGAATAGAATTGTTATCTCGAATCGCATACCCACCATTGCCACTTGCTCAAGTGCATAATTTCTTGCATTTCCTGTTGTTGTGGTGCATTGATGGACACTGCAGTTTAAAAGGACTGCCGGTGGATTTTATTTTCTATAAGTGATCAAATTTTGTCAAAAAAGTAATGTATAACTTCTAACTCTTAATTTTTAACTATTATCCCTTAAAAAAAAAAAGTGCATAATTTCTTTCTTCAATTACACAGAAAAAGTTTAATAACGAAAATGAAAATCCGTTACATATTAACATTTTTCTTTTTAATACAAACACACCATTTTTTTTTCCCTTGATTACAATTTTTCATTTGCGTTCTGCATTTTTTTCAATTACAAACACTGAGAATAATTGCCGATTCGGTCTCTGTACGTAATCTTTATGGCTCAAATGGTCCTCCACAGCACTGGATTTTACCCCTCCGATGTCCGATCCGACGATTACAATATTCCTCTAAATTTCCTAATTTTTTTTGATTGGTTGAATAAACCGAATGAATCTGCCAGCCGTCAGCTGTACAGAACGATCTCCCTCGTTGCCAACACTGAAGTCTCGTTTTTGCAGTTGGTCTCAATGATCCGCTCCGGTGAGGCGCGAAGCCGCGACGAGAAGCTAATAAACGGCATCTCGTCCGCCCGGTTCGCTTCGTCCTCGAAGTTCAGCGCGTAGCTCAGAGGATCGTAGCTGAAATCGGACGAACCGTGTTGCCTGCGACCTCCTTGCTTCCCGATTCTGGCGATCAGATTCCTGCACCTGTCCATGATCTCCAATTCGTGCGCCGTCGATTTCAGCCAAGTGTACGGCGACCGCGGCGTCCTCGGCTTCAACTCGTCCAAGTCTATCGCCGCTACCTCACCGTGATCCGTCGAACGGAAACAGCAAATCGATGATTTCAGCTTGTCCCTAACCCTCTCTTTCGGCGATGAAAAAGAGCATTCATCAAACATAGTGAGAAAAAGGAAGAAATGAGTTTTTTTTTTGTTTTTTTTTTTGGGGGGGAGCCTGTTTGGATGTTTGTGCTATATACGAACAACGACGGTGGGGAGCTGAGTGGAGGTTTTATAGGTTGAGGAGGGGAAAATCAAAAGTAATTGGATAAGAACACGGATTTGGCGGCTTGTGTACAGATAGGAGCGAACTAAGAAACCGTGGGAGGTGCGTAGTAGTGGTTTTGTGTTAATTCCGCGTGAGAACCCTCCGGGGGGGTACTGGTGTAATTAGGTAGGCTGGTTTTTCAACTTTCTTTTTTTTTTTTTCTTGTTTGGAAAGAAAGTTAGAATAATTAGGAAATCGATTTGTTGTTCCCCATCATTCAGGAAACCAACTTTCCACTGCCAGTTATTAATATTTCCTTTCTCAAAATAAATGCAAATTGTTAAGTTGTTGTTTTATAGTCTAAAACGTATAAAAGATGCCTCGTTAAATAGGAAAAATTTTTAATATTAAGAGATTTATTTTTTATTTAAAAATTATAATTGTATACTATAATATAATTCAGATTATATAATAATTTTTTTAAATGGTCAAATATTGCTTAACAAGATTTTAAGTTTTAGGGATTATTTGGATTAACTTTTTGGATATCATATATTGGATAGTTGATATTTGATGATTAATAATTTTTATTATTAATTTAAAATATTTAATTTATTTAATTAAAATTAATAATTGACAATTATTTTAAAAAAATCAAAGCAAACACCTCTTACATTGCTCACAACCCTTTGAGAAAAAACAATAAACTAAAATGACTGCTTATTTTTCTTTTTAATTTTATGACTTTTACTATTTTTTATATAAAAATTAAAGATTAGATCTTAAACATATAATTAAAAACACGACTAACTCTACTAGTCCATCACGGGTTGATGCTGAGACTTTTATTATTCGTGCTAGTGCAATCGTGACATAGAAAAGCAGAAATTCCTTGCGTAAAAAGTCTTTTATGCCCTTGAGAATGAGAAAGTACTGTAGTTTTTCTTGGTTCTGTCGGCTTAAGCAAGTGTGTGACTACCAACTCCCCGTTAATTTGAGTAGAAGAATTTTAATATTTTTAAAAAAGTTTTAAATTTGAATATTATAAGAAAAAAATAATTATTAAACAAAATTTTTTTATAAAATTTGATATAATTTAATTTTAAATTAATTAAAATTTAATATAATTATTAAATATCAAAAAAACTAATGTCAAGAGAAGAACCATGTATGACTGGTTTTCCAAATAGTCAAAAAGAAAAAAAGAAAAGAAAAAAGAAGACATGCCATATGCATGAATGTTACTAATTTTATGAAAATTGGAAAAGACACTTTTGGATCTAGTGTCACTGCCACGTCACTTCGATTCGCGACTGATAAACAAATACGCGGATGCCGCAATCTTTTCTTTTTTATTTTTATTTTTTGGGAAGTGGGTAATGGCCTTGGCCACAATCTTTTCTTTATTCCTTTTTCTACGTTGGATTGTCGT